CAAAAAAGCCCCTGCCCTGCCCCGCCCCGCCCCACCCCGGCTGGGCAGAGCCTGCCTCAGCCCCACTCCTGCCTTCACTGCAGCGGGTGTTGATCTGCTCCCCCTCCCTGCCATGCCCCTTTTCTCCCCCCTCCCCTTCCACCACAACAGATTTACTAGCTGGATGCAACTGTATCGAAAATCGGATTGGCATTGGCCCCCAAAATCTCTGTTGGTGCATCCCTAACTCTGACATTCATCACCAGAGATTTTTTTCGTGTTCTAGGATACTAAAGAAAATTACATTTTGACATTCAGCCAATACTTGTTGGATGAAGCAAGTATTTACCATTATATTTTTCCCTTATGCCCTGGGTCTGTTAAAAGAATAGATTCTCAAAGGCTACCTGCAGTAATCTGAACCTTACACACACAATCAAATATTGCCATCTCTTGATGTATGATACATTTTTTTGAAAGGTAAAGAGAGTGCAGCAGGAAAGAGGCAAGAGATCCAGTTGAGAGGATCAGTTGGTAGGATCAGAGTCTTTATTTGTGAGACAGATTTTTATGAAACTTTTGAGTGGGAGAAACATGAAGTGTTCATAATAACAAGACATTGAAAGCTATAATGTAAACTTTTAAAAAAACTTTAGTGAATCTCTTGTAAGATCAACCACAAGTACTTGTTCTGGAAAAAAAAATCTAATTAAAATACTTGTTTCCTTCCACTAGAACCTCTATTAGAGTTTGATGATGTTTTCTGTGAAGACTGTGGGAAACAATTTATGAATTCATACCTCATGCTACACTTTCACTTGGCGATATGTGATAATTGCAGGTATGTAAATATTAGGAAAATACCCTTAAAAGTATTACTATTCATATTATTTAATATATGTTTTGCTAGAACTGAAACTTGATTTTCACTATTTGAACCATTGTAGTTGCATTTTATAGAATGTAAATAATTTATCAGCAAAAAATGTATTCAATTTTATTTTTCTTGAAAATTACATGTCTAGCATACAACTAAGTTGCATTTTTCATGGTGGAAGTGCAGAACAGAATCATCTCAGACAAATGCTCCTTGGAGACTAAAGAAAGAAAATAAGTAATATAGTGGAAAAGTATAGCTTCTTTATAGAATTAATTATAGTAAAATTATAGTGTGTGTGTGTGTGTGTATATGTATGCTAAGAGATATTACAATTTTGTCATGGCTAATACTCAGTATTTGACATAAATAAAATAATGCTTTAGCTATGTAAGACACCATGGGCCAGATTCTAGTCTACCTATTAGGTGGCCAGTACAAACTGGCACCTCGTAAATACTCATCCTTACCTGCTCATCTGCATACTTCATCTGCCCAATCATATATATAAAGTCCGTGTGTTTTTTAGGAGATTTTTTATGACTGGAAATAATTTTTTAGGTGCTTAGGATGAAATTTAGCCTGGGGGTCACTTTTCTAATTTTGGCGTTTAGCCTCTGTCTTTAAAAATGGTGGCCATGACTAACAAGATGAATAAATGTTGATTTCTCTGTACCTATGAGGCCAATTTTGATTTTTCTAAATGATTTCTATCAGACAATTTCAAATAGGTATTTCAATAACCTATACACTTCCTTTGTCCTTTGAGTAATGACCCATTGTTTGGCAGCTCTAAGCCTTTACATGCAAAAACCATCAATATTGGCTACTTTTTTGGCAACTTAATAAGAGTACTTGTTTCAAGTGGAAAGTTTTACCATTTATTTCTTCAAAGTCACATTTAGTATTATTAATAACAGGTATAAATGATTATGGAACACATTTAAGTAAAATAAAATGCTTCAACTCAAATTTTAAGTCAAGTCTGTGACTGCATACACTGGATTCTCTTAATCTAGGTATTTTTCTTCTCTATCACTATCTTCTTCAGATGACTTCTAGCTTTAATTGGCTTATTTGAATGTCCATTTTCATTGTTTAGAGGCAATTTCACTCCATCTAGCAGTCCACTTTTATACACGTCACAGGTTCCAACACATCCAGCGCTGATGTCCGTACAAAATGTGTTGGATCACAAGTTTGTGCATGTCATGAATTTCTCCATTCAGCAACCTGCAAATGTGCTCAGAGGCAGTGCTGTTTGAAGGAGTCATGGTCTGGAGAAAATCTTGCAGGAATTGTAGTGTGCCGTTTGCCGCCATTTACGTGCATGAGCAGTGGACAAACGATCGCTCACAGGATCATTGTAAAGTATTCTGACAGTGAATAAAGCCAGTTTATGGAACAGATAGATATTCAGGGAGCTCCTCATTTTTTCCAAGTTGTTGCATAGTCTCCATGTACATCAGATCTTTTGATTGTAAGATTCACTTCATTGATGTCAGTTTACCACAGCCAAAAAGCCAGTTTACTCCAGTGAATCTGTGAACCCCAAGAGCAGCAGATGCTATATCACGCTCTGGAAATAATGAATGGCAGTAATAGTATACTAGCAAGTTTCTTGGTTTCTTCTTGTACATGTACATATCTTGCTTGGTCACATGACTGATATAGGAAGCAACAACTCATACATCAGTATCTTCAAAATCAAAAGCAACGGTGCAGGAATGATCCATTTGAGCTTCATGGGAGAATGCCCTTTTGTCAGCATCATGTGGCAATTTCAATACAAAGCGTGCATCATGTTCTCTGGATTTTAAATCATAGTAGGTGAGATTCATTGTGAAGCACAAGTCAGTGTGGTAGAAAAAATAATGCCATTCATTCAAAAAGAAATGTAGTCTCATTTTGTTAGAATGCTTTGATGGAAATGAGAGCCAGGATGCTCCAGTCAGCATTTCCTGGTCAGAACCAGGGTATATATTAGGAACAAACCTGGATGACTTTCAATAACACTGCTGCTCATGCTGTTTAGTACTAGTCTTCAGAAATTCTTCATCATACATATCATTAATGAAGTGAAATACCACTGCTTGTGGGTGTTGGCCAGTGACATCCTTCAAGAGACCGAGGGCACATTCAGACCATGTGTTGCTTGGTGGGATTTTATTCCATATCATTCCATCATCTATTAATGCACGATGAAGTGTTGGTGGTGAGATGGACTGGAGGTTCATCAGTGTTACGAACTTTGATTTGACAGGTCTGTGGGAATGTTCCATCTGCTGTGAAGAGCAAAAGGCTCACAGCAGTAATTCTGTACTGCATGACTTCTTCTGAAGTCATGGTAGTCTCTGTTTTGGTTAGAAGGTCAGTGACTTGTTTCACTGCAGTATGGGGAACTGTTTTCCTACACTCTTGCTTGCTCTTGGTTGCAATTGTCTTTGTCACAAAGATCTTGCTTTTCTTTGTGGTGACAGTGAGAGCCCCCTGGCGAAATTCCTTCCGTAGCACTTCAGTTATGAATTTCAAAAATTAAAAAATGTCCCCTCCCAAAAAACAGCTTTATATATATGACTGGACTATGTAGCAGTCAGCACCCTTTTCTGGTGGCTCTGGTCTGAAACAGGCTGGAGCTAGGACCCAGCTGCTGCTGCTGCTGCTTTCTGCTGCCCAGCTGGAGAGCGGCAAAGAATGGCTCCCTGCTGCCTGGCTGGAGAGCAGCACAGTGTGGCATAGGCAAAACCCTTATCACAGAATGCTGCTGAAACCCTTCCTCTGTTGATAAGATCCACCCTACAGGCTGCAGCTTACTAACCACCACTCTCTTGAATTTTTGGGGAGGAACATATAATTTCTGTGCTCTTCCCTCCTCTCCCCATTTCTTCCACCCCCACCCCCCTTGGAATATATATCTGTTTTCCAAGTGAGACCTGAGGAAGAATGTCCTGCATTTGAAAGTTTGTCTAGCTTTATCCCAGGTATATAGTTGGTCCAATAAAAGATATCACCTTAAGAAATCTTTGCCTTTCACATAATTTCTGAACCATCGCAGCTACAACATCACTCTTACATTTGCAAGTGAGGCATCTCTTCTGATCTAGTTATACCTAGGAAAACATTTACATCCTTACAGCCATAAAGATTCCTAATCCGCTTTCATAGAGATACATTCTCTTATTTCTAATTAATGACAAGGCTGTTTCTCCACTAACACTTTTTTGTCTTTGAAATGTAGACCTTCATCGTCTTAAGGACAGGTCTGAAGTCTCTACCCACCTCTCAGGCAGGCTAAGCCGCATCATCATTATAGAAGTGAATTCTCAGTGTTTGTTTTTCCTGAGGCATCATCTCCCATAGGTGTGAACTTTCTTATTTAGAAAATGACACTTAACACAGTCATTACTGTATTGCTGAATCCCAGCTATACTATAAAGATATAGAAGTACAATCATACAACATACTGTAATTTATACAAACATAACAATGAGGAACACAGAAAACAGACTCTACATCAAGAAATCTAATTCAGAAAATCATTTATGCATAATATTCCACAAATGCCCCAAAATCCTCCTGCCTGGGGTGTGGTTGTGACACAGGGAATAGCTAAAGGACATAAAAAGGCATGCAAGAGGAAAATGAAATTGAAATACTTCTCACACACCCACACACACCCCCCCCCCAACCTATGCCCTGTTAGGTATTTG